TTTTTTTTTTTTTTTTTTTTTTTGGACACTAAATTGAATTTTGAACATTCAGCCTCCCTCTCTAGTAGTTACATAAGGGTGTTCTTATAGGTTAACTGTTAAAAAAAACACCACTTCAAACCCTGCAGCACAATTAAGGAAAGAGTATCAAATACCAGTCAAGCCTTCACCTCTAGGAGAAATGGTCAATCCTACTTTTTTTTTTTTTTAATTTTACATTGTGGCTGGAACATAAACAACATAAACACCAGTCTCTATGTTCTGGCAGTTAAACAGCGTGGGCAGCCACTTACCTTTCTAAGTCCTGGTGCTGTGTGCTACTGTCTTGCTAGGTGGCACAAAGAACTGAATTAATCTCTGCAAAACACGCAGCACATTCTGGTCAGAAATGAGGAGGAAGTGGCTAGCAGTACTCTTTTACCTTATTTTAAGTAGTTGAAAATGGTATGGTTTTTTTCCTGCACTAAAGGGAATGGCTGTCAAAAGAAGAGTAAGAATTGACTTATAAAGGTAGGAAAAATCAGATTATTTCAGTGAGGGAAATTCATCTCTTCACACATTTATTCTAAAACAGTTGAAATGATGAGTTCCCTGCTCCCACAAATTCTGAATTACCACCCAGAAAAATTTTCATGGTTTACCCCTTTTCAAAACCCAGTCTCCTTTTATAATGCTTGGATGACAGGTATGGCATTTGCTACTCCCTAGTTCCAGGATGAGGTCTGCTGCCAGATCAGGAAGTCATTACGGTGGAAGAGGAGTCTTTTTTGGCAGTGCAATCATGCTGTAGGGGGGACTGAGAGGAAGACAGACATTCAAAACAGTTTGGCACTTTGAAAAATGAATGTCTGAAATCCCCAAGATGCTTTAGTTTTATATTTACAGAAACACAACTGGTACCTATAATCACACTTGGCACTAAATAAAGATTTCATCCAGAGAAAGTGCTCTAGATATGAGTCTCCAGTTAGAAGGGATGTTCTTTTTCACCAAAGAGTGAAATATTTCACCTTGAAGTAGTTGGTGTGCTTTCCTGGTCCTAGTGAGGTTTCCCATCTCCGCTATTATAGTGCAGAAAAACATGTGCAAAGAGTGTGCTGAGAGTTAAGTCTGAATTCAAGACCATTAAACAGATTGAACTTGGGGAGTGGGAACAGCTTATTTAGATGTAGGTATCTTACCCTGATTTGACATCGGCGTCTTAGTTCTGTCTCTAGACAAAGACCTAGAAGCACAGGCATACAAGCTACGGGTAAATATTACAGAGACAATTAAAGTCGAACTTCATACGGGAACATGACAACCAAAGACAAAAGAGGTCAACAAAGTTGAAAACAAAGTTGTAACATTTCACAAAAGAGCTGACAAGCACAGTGAACAAAATGCTACAATACCAGGAAATTTAAGAATGTGCCTTCAAATAGCCTGTCTGCATTTGGTTTCACAGACTTAAACTCAAATTCTGCACAAAGTAACAAGCTAAAGAAGCACCTTGCTGTCTTACATGAAGTATTGCCTTCTATACATCATATGCCAACTGCTACAAAGCCTCCTTACAAATTCTGTGTATGAGTTACTTACCCAATTCCTCATCACAACCAGCTGAAGAAAAGAACAACTGAGAATGTCGGAAGGCAGCCGACATAGCTTTTTCTTATTTGGTCCTGAACCTCATTATTTGAAGCTGTATCAAATCAAAAGCCTTAGTACCTGATCTGAAAAACTTCCTGTTTTCTGAAAACGAAGATTGCATCTGTTTATAATAAGCCTTGGTGTAAATGTTAATCCATCAGTTATAGTTCTTCCTAGTGTGAGGAAGTTTCAGAGATTATCTCCGTACTGATACGGCTAAGAAAGTTTTGTTCTGTATTAATTTGAGCCAAATATTCATTGAGATACTCCAGAAATGCCAACTCACAGTCTGAACCAACTAATAGAGGACAGGCCAAGTTAGCCTTTTATATTTTTAAGCAATCTTCTCTGACAGAACTACACTTTGCAGGGTTCAAAAGTCTTGGATTACTGGTGTTTTCAGAAGGGGAAGGGAACAGATGGTCACAAAACTAGTAAATCATTCTTGTCACTTTTCACCTGGGTGGGGAGGGGATAAGAAACTATCAATCAAGCTTACCATCCTGCAATATATTTTTTTCTTTATCATTAGAAAGAATAGGCCAGTTTGCATCATTCACATAGAGGTTGATGAGCCTCAAGTATTCTACATAACTTGTGCTCTTTGCCTTTATCCTCTCCGAATTCTGCTCTGCCCCCATTGTGCCCTCTTCAGCTTCCTTTGGTTCTACAGTGTAAAGTGCCTCAGCAGTCTGTTCCTAAACTGCAGGTTTAGGAGTAAGGCAGAGTTCACAACATCACCTATCAGAACAGATCTTAACTGTGCTGGAAAACTTCCCTTCACTGGTTTGTTAGTAACAGTAATAGAGCTGAGGTTTCATGCCTCGCAGAGAATCATCACATTGCTTTTCATCAGCATCCCCACTCACTAGCATGTCATGGGGAGAGCTGTCACATGGGAGAACCAGCTGTGAGAAATCGTGCAGAAAGTCCTCCTCAGAGGCTAGCAGTAGCTCATTCCATGCGGAGATGTCCAGCTTCCCTGAAGTACCACCATACTCTTCAGGAAGGATCACTGGAGGAATGTTTTGATGAAGGGAATTCAGATCACAGCCATGAAGAAAAAACTGAAGAAGAAAGCAAAAGATAGCTTTAATAGTGCACATCAAACACTTTACAGCAAATCACTGAAACAGTCAGCTAACAAGCTTATTTTGAGCTAAAGAGCAAATTTTAGAAGTTATGTCTTTATAGGCATGTGGCAGCATACAACATTGGGCAGGTGCAGTTAGACACGCTAGTGAGAGAAGCCTTGAGACAATCCAAGTCTAGTGCAGCTTAA